CGATTCAAGCAACTCTTGAATGTCATTTGATTCTATCTGTTCAAAGCCATCTCGTCCTATTCTATTCGCAACTTCAGCAATGTTTGCAGTTAAAGTTTGAATTTGCACGGATTCTTCATCATTTTCGACAGTCAGAACAGGCCACAGTTTTTTCCAGCATGATTTCAATGTCTCTGGCTTCAGTTCCCCCAACGATTCTTTTATGTTAACAATGCATTTCGCTATGTCAAATTTTTTCCAGCATTGCATAACGTTCATATCAGGATCAACTTCCATGGTGTTGTATGATTTTAAAAGTATGATTTTGAAGGTTCGCTTAATGTAATAAAGCTTAAAGGCCTGGATTATTCCTTGATCCATAGTTTGAAGTAAAGCCGTCGTATTAGGTAGCAAAAATATCACCTTTATATTTGGATACCGATTATATATCGATTGGATCCGCGAATAAAGAAATTTTTAGCCGCAAATACAGGAACTGTGTCGCAATTTTTTAACCCGCGAATAGTGAAAACGCGAATAAGGAAACCGTGAATAAGGAGCTTTCACTGTATATATTTGTATGTATATATATTAATAATTAATTATTATTCATCACATTCCTATGTACATGAAATATATTCAAATAATATTGGAGGCAAATGATGATTTTTTCAGAGCTTGATGCTAACATATTATTATTATATTTCAAAGGTCCCTTATAATTATTCATTGTTTCTAGGAAATAATACTCATAAATGTCACAGCAATCCTACTTAATTTTTATTATATTTAAAATTTATAGAAAAGATTTATAAAATATTAAAAAATAGGAATCCCGTCCGATTAGATTGTTTATAATATATAGAAACAATACATTGCCGAGTCTTAAAAGGGATTCTGACCCAAAACTACGAGTCAGTAAGAATTTAAGTAAACTGATGCTTCAGCATCAGAAGCCGTTCCTTATTCAACAAGATATTTCTTTTTCATGTACATCTTCAGATTCCAATTACGATAAGTCTTGTAGTTACAGTGCGCACAGTATTTTTGCTCGCAAGGGATTTTCACGTGCTATATGAGATTATGTCTCCATCGATACGACTTGCTAGAATCCAAGTATTTATACATATCAGTACTCTTAATCGGTTCTAAATTCTTAAGTTTGCTTTTCAATTGACGTGGCCTTTTCAATTGCTGTAGAATTAGTAGCACCTGTAATCGGAAAACACACAATGACAATTCGATTATACAATTTCGACATTATACAATTTCGACATATATATATTTGTGCACGATTATACAAAATCGACAATAAAATTTTAACATCCAGTTTCAGTACACGAAATAAGTATAAAGTATGGTATGTTCGATTGAGGTAGATTATTCATCCGTTCGAGAAAATAATTTTTCTTGTTATCCCGAAACTAAAGAAACACCCCATATCGTTCATTAAATCATCGAGTATACTTTACATTGCGTCCTGGAAGTCCTTCGCATGGAATCGGGGATGAGCTTTTTGCAGTATCGAAGAAGAGATGTCTTGGGAATACGGTAAGTCTTCGAGGCTTCCCTCAAGGTCATCCCGTGGGTGATGGCATCAAGGGCTTCCATCAGATTTTTCTTAAGGAATGTCAGATACTTCCCGCGCGTTTCACAAGCAGACGTTTGAGAAGCAGATGTTCCTAAAGCGGATATTCTTGAATCGATTGTTTCCAAAACGTACGGTTCTGATTTTACCGTTTCGAAAACGAGCGTTTCTGAGGCAGGACTGTCATAAACGTGCCATTTTGGATCGATCGTTTCTGAATTAGCAGTTTCTGAAGCGGATGGTTCTGATTTTATCGTTTCGAAAACGAGCATTACTGTAGCGACCGTTCCTGGAGACGCCATTCCTGAAACACGAAGAAAACGCAAATAAAATACACGTGCTTGCACGAACACTGAGAGACGACGAGTCTGACAGAGTCCTCTTCCTCACACGATATTCTTCATGGAGGAAGGTAGATGAATCATTAGAAACGCGAATCATCTACCAAATAATCGAGGCGCTCGACAAACGTCAAATCCAAAATAATCCTTGCTCATTCAGACAATTAAAAGAAATGTCTCTTCCACTGTGCTTTCTTATAAATATATTACAATTCCGTGGAAATTAAGAAGAATAGAAATACCCAAGAAAAATCATAAATATCTTTCTGATGTGTTTGATCTGGTAATTAATGTTACAAGTTGCAAACAACGAAATATACCATAGATACCAAGGACTCGTTTGTACGACTCCATGAACAGTATCACGAGTTCCAAACAACAAAACGATACGAATGCAACATGTAAATTTATATGTACGAAAACGATATATTTCCGATTTCGTTAAGGCTCCTGGTCCCTCGCTGCAACTGTCTTTGTTTGATAACGTCAGAAGCGAGAAAATATATGCTAAGAATTCTTGCGTTATAAGTTCAAATAAAAAAATATTCCCATAAAAGGATACTTGCGATCGATTCAACACATTTATAAAATTATTTGAACACTTTTCTTTTATTTCAATAATCAATAAATAATCGCAAAATTAATTTGACATAAAACTTTCTTTCCCAACCTCTTTTCTCATGATTTTGTCAATGTTAATTTTATGACTGTTCATTGATTGTTCGAGTAAAAGTGTTCGGACAATTTTACAAGTGTGTCAATCACAAACATCATTTTGTGAGTATATTTTTTAATCAATCACAAACATCATTTTGTGAGTATATTTTTTTTATTTGAACATATAATGCAAGAATTTCTCAGCACGCGTTTTCTTCCTTCTGACGTCATAAAACAAGGACAGTTACAGCGAAAGACCAGAAGCCTTAAATCGGAAGCGGATTCTAGTCTAAAACAACGAATCAGCAAAAATTTGAATAAAATGCAGAGACATTTTATTGATCACATCAAAGAGGCCGTCAAATATTGCTATTACAATAATAATTAATAAGCTAATAATGTATATGTGATATATATATATTTGTGCATATATACATATATATGCATTTATATATATTATTAATTTATTGTTATTCATCACATTCCTTTGCACATGAAATAATATATTCAAATAATATTGGAGGGCGGATAATGACTTTTCAAGGTCTATTGATAATGTATTATTATAATACTTCCGAGATGCCTTATAAATATTCATAATACAATTTGAACATACATGTATATACGAGGGTTGTTCGATAAGTATAGTAACAAATTAAGAAAATCGACCCTTTTCGAAACAATGTCCCTTTATTTTTCAACGTAGTCTCCTTCGAGTTCTACACATTGGTGTTCCAGCTTTTTGATCCCTTGGGAAAAGTAGACGGTGTCGAAGCCTTCAAAATACTCGTTCACAGCGGCAATGACTTCCTCATTCGACGAGAATTTCTTTCCCCCGAGCCAAGTTTTGAGATTGGAGAACAAAAAAAAGTCGCAAGGGGTCAAATCTAGAAAATAGGGTGGATAAGGCAACAATTCGTATTGTAATTCGTGCAGTTTAGCTATTGCGACAGTCGATATATGAGCTGGTGCATTATCTTGGTGAAATATCACTTTTTTTCGCAACAACCTTGAACGTTTTGTTCGCAGCTCTTCGTCCAAACGATCTAGGGCGGTTGCATAATATGCTCCTGTAACTGTTTGACTCTTTTCCAAGTAGTTGATGAAGATAATGCCCTAAGAATCCCAAAATACTCTGTAGCCATCACCTTCCCGACCGACAAAATGGTCTTCGCCTTTTCCGGCGCACTTTCGCCAGGTCCAGTCCACTGCTTTGACTGTTGTTTAGACTCGGGAGTGTAATGGTGGATCCATGTCTCGTCTACGGTCACCAATCAATGCCAAAAATCTGTTGGGTTACGAGCAAGCTTCGACAAACACTGCTGCGAAATGTCTGTTTACACGCGTTTGTGGTCGCACAATAGTCAACAATCTCAGCACCCATCGTGCACAGAGCTTTCTCATCTGCAATATTTCACGCAGGATATTGTGCACTCTATCTAATGAGATGCCTACGATCTCAGCTATTTCGCGAACCTTGATTCAACGGTTTTCCATGACCATACCATAGATTTTTTTTATCATTTCAGGCGTGACCTCTACTAAACATCCGGAGTGTGATTCATTTTCGGTTGATGTTCAGCCACGTTTGAATTCATTTCTCCATAAATAAATGGTCTTTAATGCTGGCACCTCCCCATGTACATCGTTCAACTCGGTTTTGATCTGCGTAGCCGTCTACTTTTTAAAAGAGAAATGTTTAATCACTGCACGGAACTCGTTTTTTTCCATTGTTGCGACAACCATTGACACGCTCACTTAAAACGTTTACCAAATACAAACTATGCTTCGATTTTGACTGAAACTTAATATGATGTAAGTTGGAAGTGTTATTTTCATGTATGTCACAAAGTGAATTGTAGTACCATATATCGGATATTTACCATACTTATCGAATAACCCTCGTATAAGTGGTAAAAAATTTGTTTCTAAAAAATAATACTACTTTAATCAAAAAGTATTCAAACTTTATTTTTTTTAATCACGGGAAAACTGTAAATCAAATCCATTTGCTTTCTTAAGTTGGTACACATGTCTTTCATTTGGTGAAAAAATCATGGCGTTCTTTTAAACCGTTTGAGAGTGGCAGTTGTTTATGTCAGTGAAGATTTTTGTGTGCGACAATTTTTCTTTGATGTCCTTAAATCGATTCGAAACGCTGTCCGCGAAATGATTTTTTCAATAGAGGGAATAGGAAAAAGTCGCAAGGGGCCATGTCTGGTGAACACAGTGCTTGCGGAGCGACATTCGTTAAGTTTTTGGTCAGAAATTCACGCACAAATGTCGAGGCATATGATGGTGCGTTGTGATGCAAAATCCATGAGTTGGTTTCCCACAATTCCGGCCGTTTCTTACAGATTGCTTCGCGCAAATGCCTCATAACGGATATGTAGTATTCTCCATTGACTTTTTGATTAGTTGGAAGGAATTTCTGGTGCACAACACCGCGATGATCGAAGAAAACCGTGAGCATGACTTAACTTTTGACTGCAAACGACGAGCTTTCTTCGGTCTTCTTGAAACTTCTTAAACTACTCATACGTACTTGTTTTCAATAAACAATCATCGCCATAAACTGTTTGCAATATTTCGAATGCGTTTGCGAACGAAATTTCATTTGCAACACAAAATTTCAAACAAATTCTTTGCTCTATATTTTTCGGCATCGTAAAAATCGCCGCGCACAAAAATCTTCACTAACATAAACAACTACCACTTTCAAACAACTTGAAAGAACGCTATGATTTTTCACTTACATGTAAAGGACATGTGTACCAATTTGAGAAAGCAAACAGATTTGATTTACAGTTTTCTCACGATTAAAAAAAGTTCGGATACTTTTTAATCACAGTAGTATTCCTAATGTTACAGCATTTCTACCTTTATATTATCAATTTTTACATTTTATTTTTCATATTTATTTTGTATTTTATTTTTATAATATTTATAATATTTATAATCTCAATTTTTATGATATTTTAACATTATAATTTAAATTTACAAATTAAATATATTTAAATAAATTTATAAATTAAGAAGATTTATCAAATACTATAAAATGGCGCTTCCTTCCACATGGAATTTCATCCGTAAGAAAACGATACGTTTCCGATCTCTAAAGCGGATTCTGATTCGGAACAACGAATCAGCAAGAGTTTAAATAAGCTGATACTTTAGTATCATTTGTTTCAAATTCGTCCCTGGATACGATAATGTCCAAAGTATTTTGAATAAAATCGTCATCATGGCGTCGGCAAAGTATTTTGAATAAAATCGTCATCATTGTCATTAAACCTGATGTCTGGTCATCATGTGAATGATCATACTCCACTTGCTGTAAGTCTTATAGCTGCAATGCGCATAACATTTCAGAACACAAAAGGATTTCACGTGCTTTACGAGGTTATATTTAAACTGATAAGACTTGTTGCAACCCCAACATTTATATCTTCCATCAATCGACTCCAGATTCTCAAATTTGCTTGCCACATTTAAAATATTATTTGTTGAATTAAAGGTACCTGAAATCAAAATCACAGTGACCATTCAATTAACAATATAATTTCAACATCTTTTCTGTATTCAGAAAGGTCGAACTAAATAAGTAATATTGCATGTACGATCAAGGCAAATCTTATTTGTATGAGATGATAATTTCGTTATTCCAAAACTAAAAAATCGTCCCAAGTCGTTCACTAAACACACACACACACACACACACATTTTTTTTTTATAATGAGTCCTCTTCCTTATAGAATTGGGGATGAGTTCTTTGCCGAATCGACATAAAGTCGATTTCGGTACAGAATACGTCTGCGCAGCTTCCTGAAAGGACGATCCCATGGGCGACGGCATCGAGGGCCTCCATCAAATTTTTCGGATTATTTTCCAGACGTACTTTACTTCTCATGGGGCGGGTCCTTCGCCTTGAATCAGAGATGAGCTCTTTGCTTAATCGTTGTAAAGTCCATCTGTATATAGAATGTATCTGCTCGGCTTTCTTCAGACTCATCCCATGGGTGATATCATCAAGGGCCTCATCAAATTTTTCGAAAAATGTCGTTTCCCATTTCGAAACCATATTTCGGAAACGATCGTTTCAGAATCACATGTATGTTTTAGAAACAGACATTCCAGGATCAGGCGTCTCAGAAGTGGACCTTCCTAAGTCGACCTTTCTGAATCGATCGTTTCTAAATCAGACGTTTCTGAAGCGGGCAGTTCTATTTATGGCATTCCTGAGGCAAGTTTTTCAAAAGTGGACCTTTTCAAATCAACCGTTTCTAAATCGGCCGTTTCTGAATCAGACGTTTCTGAAGCGAGTTCTATTTGTGACGTTCTTGAAGTAGATATTTCAAAAATGGATTCAAAAGTAGTTTCCGAATCGATCATTTCTGATTCTGTGTCTGAAGCGTGCGGTTTTGACTTTATCATTCCCGAAACGAGTGTTTCTGAAGCGGACGTTCCTGAAGATGCTATTCCTGAAACACGAGGAAAATGCGAATAAAGTACACATGATTGTACGAACATTGAGAAACAAAGAATCGGACAGATTACGCTTCTTCACACGTTATTCTCCGTGGTGAAAATTAAACGAATAATTAGAAATGCGAACCTTCGATCAATTAATTAAAGCGCTCAACGTCATAAACCGCAATAACCTTTGCTCATTCAGACAGTTATAAGAAACGTCTTTTCCACTGTAATATTTTTTTCATATATTTATTACAATCTTGAAGAAATAAAAAAAAAAATATGGACAGTCAAGAAAAATCGTATATCCTTTTCCTTTGTTTATTCAACCTGATAATTAATATTACATGTTGAAAATAATGAAATGATACCAAGGACTCAATCGTATGATTCCATAAACAGTATCAGAAGTTCCAAACAATGAAACACGAATTCAATACGTAAATGAACAGATAGGAACGA